ACTATTCATATAAAACTGGAAGGATCTACCTATGGAATTGACATTGTTGCTGTAGCACATGGGAGTAAGAAATCTACTATTGGTGGTGATTCTTTTGTTAAAGGTGATTCTCTGGCATCTATGGTTGAGCAAAACATTTGACAACTGGTAACATCTGCTATTCCTTCTGCTCTCTCTGCTATTGGCTTACCTGGTGAGTTTTCTGGTTATTGTGCTTCCCCTTCTCATATTTGGATCATTGACTATGGAGCTACCAACCACATGATAGGAGCCTACCCTAACCAACCAAGTAACCTTACTAAAACCCATCGCAAACATAATGTTACTACCAATGGTGAAAAGTTAAACATCATTGGAAGTAGTGATCTATCTCTTAAGCTTTCACCCACTGCATCTTTCCCTCTTACCAAGACCCTTCTTGTTCCTAATCTCACTACAAACTTGATCTCTGTTGGCCAATTAACTGATAAAGGTAGCATTATCATCTCCTCTCAAGATGGATGTTTGATTCAAGACCGGGACACTGGGAAGGTGAAAGGGAAGGGGCGCAGGTTGGGCCGTCTGTTTACATTGAAGTTCGAGATGCCTCAAACAACAGCACTTTTTTGAGAAAATTTAACCAAGATTCATTGAGAAAAAAAGGGGAGGAACAAGAGGAGATATACAAAACAGGGGGGGAACCCCTGCAAGTTACAAAGGAGGAAGCTTGTCGCTATACAGATGCTCCAAATACACACCAAAATTATCTAGGCCATCTGCAGTATGATTGTATTCCCTAGGAATCCAAACTAAGTTAACATTCAATCCATYCAAAGMATCYCAAGCTTCAGTCAGATAGTGATAAAGTCTCCAAAGGCCCCCTTTTTTGTCTCTTAACCATTTTATTGTATTTGCTGAATCACCTGCAATGATCAAATTCTGAATTACCAAACTCTTAATTATCCTGATTCCGGTGAGAGCAGCCATCACTTCAGCCTTTGTGGAGTCGGCCCAACCGATTGGGCCACTAAAGGTCGAGCAGATATTGCCCCTTTCATCCCTTACTGTACCACCAATACCTGTAAAGCCCGGATTGCCTAAGGCACAACCATCACAATTAAGGGTTATCACACCTTCACTGATGGAAGCGGGATGCCTCAAGGGAGTTTGTTGAGGATGCCTCAAACAGCAGCAGCATCAGTTTATTTCAGTTCCTCCACTTCTAGTTCATAAAAATAATGTTTGGGACTTATGGCAAAAACGTCTGGGTCATTTACATTCTGAAATATTAAAATTTTTGTTTGATTCAGGCCTTATTAAGAACAAAGTTCCTTCCTTGCACACCTTTGATACATCTTGTGTTTCTTGTTGCTTAAGTAAGAGTCGTACCTTACCATTTCCTCACATATTTGAGCATGCTACCTCTCCCTTCGAGCTTATACATAGTGTGATGTCTAAACTGCTTCCGTCTCTTCTCGACTTGGATACAAATATTTTGTGTTGTTCATTGATGATTGTACCAGGTACACATGGATATACTTTCTTCGCCACAAGTTTGAGGTGTTCCCAACATTTAAGTTGTTTCATGCTATGGTGCGGGTTCAATTTCAATCACAAGTGTGTATTCTCTGTTCGAATTCAGGAGGAGAATACACTGATGGAGATTTTTTATCCTATTTGAAGGATCATGGAATACAAGTGCAACAAAGTTGTCCAGATACTCTTTAGCATAATGGTGTGGCCGAGCGCAAGAATGGACATATCCTTAGTGTTGTGAGGACATTATTGCAAGAGTCCCATACTCCACCTTCCTTTTGGGTAGAGGCAGCCAGTACAGCTGTGTTTTTTATCAACTATATTCCTTCCTCAGTTCTTGGTAATGTCTCCCTTTCAGAAGTTATTTGGTCGTTCTCCAAATTTATCTATGCTTCATGTTTTTGGATGTGTGTGCTTTGTTCATCTTCCCTCTCGTGAACGTTCTAAATTGTCTGCTCAGTCTGTCATGTGTGCCTTTTTGGGTTACAATCCTGACCACAAAGGATTTCTTTGTTATGATCCCTCTATTCGTCACATTCGTATATCATGTATGTTGTCTTCCTTGAGCACATTTCATTTTTTGCTGGAACTGCTAGACTGTCTGCACCGTCTATTTCTATTTTGCCAAACTTTGATTCACAGGATGCTCCACCTCCTACTGAGAAGGACTTTCTCGGCTTCTCTCGCAAGCGGTTACGTGCCCCAGCCCCTGCACCTACRACTCTCTTTCCTCCTAATTCAGATCATCATCCTACCACTGCTCTTGTAAGTGATACCTCTACTTCAGACACTCTTCATACTTATGTTCCTCTTCATCGTTCTACTCGTATATCTAGACCTCCTGACCACTATGGTTTTCCTTTAGACCATAGCTCTTTGTTTGCTGTCCTATCCTCCATAGATGTACATCACTCCTACCAGGAAGCTAATAGTAGCCCTTATTGGAAGGAAGCCATGGATGCAAAGATTCATGCTTTACATGAGAATGACACTTGGGATCTTGTGCCTGCTCCTCCAGATGCATCCATTGTTGGGAGCCGTTGGGTTTACAACATTAAGCTGAAGTCTGATGGATCTCTTCATCGATACAAGGCACGCTTAGTTGGCCAAGGATATAGTCAAGAGTATGGTATTGACTATGAAGAAACCTTTGCTCCTGTTGCAAAGATCACCACAGCCCGTGTTCTTTTGGCAGTGTCTGCTGCTCAGTCTTGGACCATATGCCAACTTGATGTGAAGAATGCCTTTCTTCATGGTCAGTTGAAGGAGACGRTCTAYATGAAGCCTCCTCCTAGATATTGCAGTGATCCTTCTTTAGTATGTCGCCTCAAAAAATCTCAATATGGTCTAAAACAAGCTCCCCGAGCATGGTTTCAACGCTTTCGCGATGTTGTAGTTGCTGCTGGATATAGCCAGAGTTCTTCTGATCACTCTTTATTTGTTAGGCGACGACCTTAGGGTATTACCATTCTCCTACTATATGTTGATGACATGTTGACTGGGAATGATGCTAAAGGCATTCGTGAATTGAAACTATTACTTTATAATTCCATTCACATGAAGGACTTGGGCCCTCTCACATATTTCCTGGGACTGGAAGTACATCACAGTGATCGAGGGTATTTTGTTTGTCAGCAGAAGTATGCCTCTGACCTTGTTAAACTTGCTGGTCTTAATGATGAAAAGCATGTTGATACACCTATGGAGCTAAATCTTAAGCTATCTAAATCTGAAGGTCCATTACTTCCTGATGCTGCCTTATATCGCCAGCTTGTGGGGTCCCTCATTTATCTCACTATGACTCAACCTGATATTTCTCATGTTGTCTAGGTTGTTAGTGAATTTGTTTCTGCTCCTCGTCAACCTCATATGACTATTGTTGATCGCATCATTCGATAAGTTAGAAACACAACTTCCCAGGGATTGTTCTTCTCCTCCTCTCCTATTCAGTTGAGAGCATATGCTAATGTGGATTGGGCTGGTTGTCTAGACACTCGTAGGTCCACTTCTGGGTGGTGTGTTTTTATGGGTGATTCACTCATCTCTTGGAAGTGTAAGAAACAACAAACAGTCTCCAAGTCTTCCACTGAAGCAGAGTATAGGGCCATGTTTTCGGTTTGCAGTAAGATTGTTTGGTTACAGTCTCTCTTTATGGATCTTGGCATTTAGGTTCCTACTCTTATTCCTCTCTATGCAGACAATACGAGTGCTATCAAGATTGCATCTAACCCTGTCTTCCATGAGAGGACCAAGCACATCGAGGTGGACTACCACTTTATCTGAGATCTCTTCACTACTGGATCTATATCGCTTCCTCATGTAGCCTCGGACATGCAGATTGTTGATATCTTCACTAAAGCTATGAAGCTATGACTAGAGTTCGACATCTCTTTCTTATAGACAAACTGATGCTTATGTCGAGGCATCAGTTTGAGGGGGGGTGTGGAGATTCTGTAAACTGATGTACCTTATTAGTATAGTCTCTGTTGTATATTACTTTTACATCTTATTCTTCTTTTCTCTTTCAGCCCTATATGGCCATTCTTGTAATTGTACATATCTTTTATTACATAAGAGACTCTTTGAGGTGGGGGTCATTAATTCTTGACACCTCTAAGATTATTCTTGTTCTTTTCTCTATTCGGCCAAGAGTGTTGACATGTTGACACAAATAATATCTCCATATTCATTTAATAAAAAAAGATCAAACAGAAGGGGAAACTAGAAGTTGTATATGTTCTCTAGCTTCAAACTTTTTAAATCTTTTCTTAAAAATAGCTGCCATATGTGGACAAATATGGCGCTCAAGTACAACTATTTATAAGACTACTAATAAATGAATCTAGGCATATCCAGTCACCTAACTGAGTCATCCTTTTTTTATCAGCATAAGCAAGTCATCCAAATCCTAACAGCACATTTTGAAACGCTATAATTAGTATATAAATTGTACAGATCTTCTACATTTATAAGATTTAATAAGTTGGCATACTTCAAAATTATGAAAGCTTCATGTATAAACATGGATGGTGGAAGATAATAACACAACTTTCATATTATACAATATAATGCTAATATTAAATTTATTTTTAATGTCTTTCTTAAGAAATAAGTGTGAAAATGCTTTCTGGAAAAAAAAATGAAAAAGGTTAGGTTCATATAAAGTCTACCCCTCCCAAGACCCAGATAATCAGCACTATCATTGTAAATGACCCTTAGTTGATTATCTCTGGTCATATTTTAAGGATTTCTAACATACCTGAGATTTGGTCGGAAGTAACCATTATTCATGAAAAACACTGAACATTTTAACATGACTGTTTATTTATTGGTGGTACCAAATATCTTCAATTCAGGAAGACAGAAGAAAAGAAAAGAAAAGAAAAAAAGAAATACATCATTGAATGCAACCAGCCAACCACACTTTAGGCTGCACTAGAAGCTTCAAACTATTATCAAAACATTCAAACAAATTTATATCTTACCAGATCTCTTAGTAATGGATGATGCGATTGTAGGGCCAACAGCAGTTGATGGTCTTGTAAACTTCTTGCATTTTAGGAGAATAAACATCCCTAGAACACATACCAAGAAGAGTACAAATGCAGACAAAGCAATGATAGCAATAATTCTACCATTCATCCTCTGATTCTTGCCATGAAAATTTGCCATAATAGGGTTTTCATGACCCCCAATACTTCCACTAGGTCCATTCCCCGTATTATTCCCAAAGGGCAGTGAGGAAGGAAGCCCTGTTAATGACAATACTCAGGTGCTCAAACAGTGTAAACTCAAAACATGAAAAAAAAGGTATACTACTGAGGTTATTACCTGGATATTTGATGGATATCAGTTCATAATCACCAAAAAGAGTCGCATTAATTGGCACCTTCTTGTTTAAAAATCTCTCATATGTCAGTGTTGCCGTGGTGTTATCAAATTTTTCTCCTAGTGGGACCAGGTTAATATCTACAACTGTTCCTTGATCTTGATTATCAGCATTTGCACCCATGATTCTTACTTGACTTTGTTTCAGATATGTGCCTTCTGCAACCTCAATCTCAAGCTCTCCAATAAGATGAAAGACTGCGTAAGAAGCAACACCTAGATGAAGCTCAACTTGCATAGGAACCACACAACCACAAGGTGAACCAATTGGAGTGGAAGTAAGTGGCTCTGAACAAGTGATTTGATCACAACCTGCCAAAGCTACTAGTATCATCACCATATCACTGTACCTCAATTAAAATATAAAGAAATACAAACACACAAATGAAACTAAACAAAGATAGTAAAAGAATTTAGACCTAGAACCGAGTATCCAAAACTTTTTCTACCTGATACAACAGAGGGGGTTGGGGAGACAGCAGGAATTCTCTTTCGGTGATGATGGTGGTGATGTCTTGTCTTACTGATAGGACTGCTGGTAGGACTGGCAAAACCTGGAGGGCATAAAATGAACAAAATTAAAAAAAAATAGTCAACAAAGATATAAGGGCAGGATTTTGTAGTAAAAGACATCAAGTACCTTGATTAATTGGATAAGGAGAGGGAGCAGGTGATGGTCCCAAAGATGGTTGGGGTGGGTTAGATGGAGCAAATGCAGGCTTTGATGGCATTGACTTTCCTGGAAACAGAAGCCCAGCAACTTGAATTACCATTTGTGATGGTAATATTCATTAATCAACATAAAAAGTAGAAAAATCACCTCGAATGGATGGCATTAATGCCGGTAAATGTGAGAAAGGACGTAGACGGAAAAATGAGATTGAAACCGATTTATCATATGGATCTTCTCTCACTGCAATAAAATCTGGCAAATAATGACGGGGATTCTTACTTAAAGAAAAAAAATGAACAGGGAAAAGGTGTAATTAGAGGAAGAATCTGAGCAAATATATACAAATGCAAGAATAACCATACCAATATACCAATAAAAAAATTATGCAAATAAAATTTTACAAAATAAACTATATATAATGGTTATATATCCACCTTGAAGGCCATTCTTAAAACCTTGACCTGATTCTTTAAAAAGCCAAACTTCTGGTGTTTGCCTAGGTGTTCAATGATGAGTGCAGTATAGAGAGTGAAAATTGGCTCTATATCAGATGTTAATGAGTTTAACTGATTTTTTAACTGATTTAGGATTAGTAATTCTGTAACCCAGAAAGAATGAGTTGGCTTAGCTCCTCACCCCCCCCCCAAAAAAAAGAAAAACAAAGCCACCCACCATATGACCTTAAATCCCATTTTATTTTCCATAGCTAGCTAAAACATATGCAACTGACTTAACAAAAAGGAAATTTGAGCCCTAAAGGAAGCAAGATCTTTTTCCTATCAAGAATGAACCCTTCTTTCTACTAAAAATCAAAATCAGATAATTATGCCGATAGCTAACCCTGAGGGGAGGGGGGAGGAATTTTTGTTGGGATTCTTTTTTCTTCTATCCAGAACAGATTTTATATCTATAAATTAAATAAGAAAAAAGAACAGGAGAGAAGAACAGAAAAAAGAAAGAGAGAGAAACAATAAGGAAAGAAAGGATTTTTTTTTTAATTGGTTAGGGACCTCTTGATTTGTGGAGTCCTTGTTTGTCAGGGGCTCATAATATCTGAGTGAATGGGTCTTCTGACTTCTTTGATACAATTTATTAATTAACGATCAGAGGAAAAAAAACAAAAAGAAAAGTTAGCAAGTGGGGTCTTCAAGCGTGTTGAAAAATTTTCACGACCTTAAAGCATCTTTTTGGTTAAGGATAAAAGGACCATCTACTAGAGGTCCTAGATTTTCCAAACTAACCATTATTCCAATAAGGTGTATAATTCCTTTCCTTCAAATAACCTTTTAGGCTCATCCAATTACAATGCATACGTTTTAAATTTTTCTAAGAAGGTATTCCAGATTACAATATTCAGTTCTACATCTTACCCAATTCCAGACAATTGATCCTTCTAAAATGTATCAAGGATAACCATCAAATGGAAATCACAAGGCACCACAATGCCACACAAGAACAATGGTACGTTTCAATCATACAGGACCATTTCGACATCCTTTTCAGGTGGCTTACTAAAGTATTGAACTAAGGATCTAAAAACAACGAACATCATATTAGCCATATGAGTATCTTTGTCTTTTTCTTTTTTTAAGGTAAAGTGTAATATATTTTATTTCCAAAATGAAATGTAGTCAAAATCAACTACAAATATCATTTTCACTAAATGCTATCATGTAGAAGTTGTACATAATTTCCTTTTTCAGACTGGTGGATCATGGGAGCTCATTTGACTGTCTCCTGTTTTTTACAACAAATCCCCTCTCTCTCTCTCTCTCTCTCTCTCTCTCTCTTAAATGGGAGGTTTCATTAAGAGAAGGGAATTTTTAGATGATATGTTGGCAAAGCAGGGAACTTTTAGAGAGGACTTGTTTTGGGCAGTAACGTAACTTAAGATTGTTTTTCTGGGGTCAGCACCCTTGTGCTTGGGTGGTTGACAGTTGTATTTTTTGTATTAAATTAACTTCAATGAAAGTCAACCTGTCACCGTTTCCTATCAAAAAACTTGCTACAATGGCTTACTTATTTCTTTTGTTCCAGGCCATAGTGTGGGTGTTTGCACCTTTTATTTTTACTTTTTTATAGCTGCCACCTAACTAGGAGTGTATTTGTATTTTTCGTTTTACTTCCAGAAACTATTATAAAGGGCAATGAGAGGCATAACTGCTTTCACGATTATGAATTTTCTCCCAACTATTCTATTCTTTCTTCTTCTTTTCTTTTTGATGAATTATTCTTTCTTCTTCTTTCTCTCTCTTTACCTCTCTATCTTGCTTCTTTTTTTTATTTTTGGTAAATGTTGACAGGTTCTGTCACCAGAAGTCACTCAAGAGAGAAAAGAAAAACAAACTCCCAACTCAAAAACAAGCAACCAAACCTTCTGAGCCTCAAAATCACCAAACTCAAGAGCCCAAAAAATCACTAAACAATCACAAGCTACAACAACCAAAGACTAGGCAAAACTCAATAGTGCAAAAACTCAACCTCAAAGACAGACGGAACACTTCAAACCCATGAGAAACAAAAGCCTTCCTCAAGTACCAACACCAGCTCCACCCTCAAAACTGCAGCCTCTAAAACACTAACCACCAAAAACTTCTAGAGGTTTTCTTGGTCTTCAAGATCTTCTTGCTTGGTTTAATCCCAAATAGACCTCATTTTAGTCTAACAAAAACCTTTGTGACCAGAATGCCTCAATGTTTTCTCCGTCTTTTAAATCTTCTATTTGCAAAAACACTTCTGGGAATCAAACGAGAAAGAAGGGTTCCCATTAACCCTTTCCATTTCCAGTACTGTGTCTCTCAAAGAATTGGGCATCAACCAAAGCTGCAGTTTTTTCACTACCATCCTCTTCCAAACTAGTTGTGGTTAAGTTATTATCGCCTTCTTCAATTTGCGGCAGAGGCACTTGAAAATTTCCAGCATTCTCCTTTCCAGGCACCACATAGCGTTCTTCGAAATCTTGGAACATTTTTCTTTTTTTTTATAGATAATGAAAATGATAATTTTATTGATTAAAGAACTAAGTATACATCATGCAATTCCCCACTAAGAGGCGTGAGGTGCAGCCTCCTAACTACATCATAAAGCTTACARTTGAGCCCAAAAGAGCTGATTCCTATGTACTCCTTGTTTAGCTAGGTCTGCCAGCCCATTTGCCGATCTTCTTTCCCATTGAACTGTGACTGAAATATTTGAAGTCAGCCACTTAAATCTTCTCAAAGYCCCCCTGTAYGGCCAGGCTGCYGTCTCTRGTTCTTTTAGCCATCCAACAACCAATTTGGAATCACCTTCAATCATTAAATGCTCCACTGCCAACTCTCTTGCATATTCTGCTCCTTGTAACACAGCTTGGAGTTCTGCATTTACCGAGTCTCCCCACCCTATAGGACCAGAAAATAGAGCTACAATCTGACCTTCTTCATTTCTAAAGACTCCCCCTATTCCAGAAGGCCCCGGGTTGCCCAAACTACTGCCATCAAACTTTAGTTTAATGACTCACCTCCCAGCACAAGCAAGCCTAGAGCTTTACTTACCTCCACAGCCTTGTCTACAACCTTAGTCACATCAATAGATTTGTCAATCTGATAAGTATCATCTAAACAAACTTCTTCTTCATCCTCCTCGCTTAGACTTCTCTCCTCATCGGAGGAAATAGAACCATCTTGATTCCTTTCAAATACAGACTCTGTCAACAGAAATAGCACCATCTTGCTTCCTTTTCTTTCTTTAGTATTGCTTTACAAGACAAGTGAATATATTCTATTTCTTCTAGCCTTTATCTTCTACTAGTCTTTTTCCTCGCTGTTTCTGATTTTGCAATGTACTTTCAGTGCTAAGAAATGAAAGAATATTTGTTTCTTAGAAAACACAGGTAAGATTTCATTGGGATGCCAGCTACCAGTTACTCAGCATTAGGAGAGGACTGCCTCGCTACTTTTCTAATGGTCTAGAGAAGGAAAGTAAACTAGTTTTAAGGACCTTTTTTACTAATGTGAAGGATGAGGGAAATTTTCTCCTCCAAAGAGGAATCCCCCAGAAAGTGAGGGCCATTCCATTCTTTTTTTTTTTTATCAATGGGCCATTCCATTTATCAAAAACAGGAGCCACTCAAATAAGCTTCAGCTCCCTTGATCAATTACAAAAACTATAATCAGGGGCAATGTTTCATATGATGGTACAATCTTAGGCTGAGAATATGTTCAGATTTTTCTCTTTGGTGCATGATTGTCTGTTGACTCATCCAGACTTAAAAAGATGCAGATTGTCTTTCAAAATGGATTATGATCTTTTCAGGATTTATTTTCAAAAAATGACTAGTTTTTGAATTTGTACTTTGTTTCTTGTATTTTTTGTTGCTGTTTGGAGTGTTGGTACAACACCTATATGATTTAATATCTTTATTTTCTTTTTTATTGATCATCAAAAAAATCACAGGCTGATAAGCATGAAAACATAGGTAGAGTCTGAGAGGCACCACTTTGTGCTTAAATGCTGTAGGTTAGGTTTGAATCCAGCCCATCCCTCCCAAGACTCCGTTGGCAAGGACCAGCACTGGGTTATGGCCCTTCTAACAAAAACCATAGCAAAGATGGGACAACTGTATGCTAGTAGTGTATTAGAGGCCAAAGATCCCAAGGAAAAAATCAAACCAAAAAAAAAGAAACATGTATGTAATAAAAGGAAAGAGAATTCTTAAGATAAAAGAGAGTTTACAGAAAGAATGTTGAGATAACATCCATAAAATAAAACTAAAGTCTCTCAAAAAGACTACTAAATCCACATGCCTACCCATCATCCTCTATTAGATCCAAGAAAGTTCTTGATAAAACAGAATTCAAATAATAAGAAAGTCCAAAAATAGCAGAAGAAACTCTAGGTGCATCCTCAATCTCTGGATAACCCAACATCCAGCCTTTCACCTCTAGCCTTAACTTCAAAGATACACATGTTCCTCACTCTCCAAATGCAAAAGGAATGGCACTCTAAAAGATCTTCACCCTCCTACAGTCATCAAATGATGGCCACCTTATTACATACATAGACATGCATCCATATATATTATGTATAGTTGCAATCTTCAGAGGATGCATCTTAAAGAAAGTAAGGAATAAACAGCATAAAACTACAACAGTATTGTTCAGTCATTCAGCTACCGCTATAACAAATGTCAAGTCAATAAACAATCAATGGTAATAACTAAACTAGTACAGATACAGAACAGTAATGAAAGACATTTCATCCTCTGCAATACATATTAAAAGACTTACCATGATCTTGTAATATTCTTTTTGTAGATGGTGGTTGACTGGACAGCACAGAAGGAGACAAGTTTATATGAAGTAATGGATACCCTAAAGGAGAAAAGAATGCACATCAGTATCATTTAATAGGAAAAATAAACTTGCATCATCATATTAAATAGACAAAACTAGATATTACCCTACTCTATGAATTAGGTAGCCCCTAAAGGACAAAAAGAATGATATAAATATGATTAAATAGAAATAAATAAATAAACTACTGACACCATGTGTACAGAAGTACTCTCCCTTTTTGCAACCAATCAAAAAAGAATCAAATAGGTGAAACCAGATGCTACTCACCTATTCTACACTGAATTAGGAAGCTTATGTGAATCAAATGTTTTTTTATGGGAACTGGGAGAAGGAAAAAAGGACCACTTGGTGAGTTTGGAGGTAGTATGTAGGAGTAAAAACCAAGGTGAAGTGGGTATTGGAGAATTGAGAACAAAGAATGTGGCACTTTTAGGTAAGTGGCTTTGGAGACTGCCTCTTGAGAATGAAAGGCTGTGGATCAGAGTGGTGGTAAGCATTCATGGGCTGTCCAAAATTGGTTGGGATGCAGACATATCATATCGGGCTACACTAGCCTCCCCATGGAAGGCTATACATAGTATTCTTCCAAAGTTAATATATCAGGTATGATGTTTAATTTGGAGAGAAAATTAATTTTTAGGAAGACTTATGATGGATGGGTGATTCTCCTCTTAAGGTCTTGTTCCCCTCCTTGTACTCTGTTTCCTACTTCACAACGAACCTATCTTGAAATTTGTGTCTCTCTTCACCCTCAATTAGAGGTTTTGACTGGGATTGGGTTTTCAAAGAGGGTTGAGGGATGAAGAAGCTAAGAATGCAATCAACTTGGTGAAAATTCTTGATAAAGCCTGTCTGGACTCTTCAAAACCAGATAGGTGACTCCCCATCCCTTGGGTTTATTTACTTGTGCATCCTTCTCTAAGGCTCTTGAACCTCCACTTATCACCCAACTTTCGTTCTCTGTCAAAGAAGTGTGGGGTAAGCCTATCCCCCCTAAAATTGGTGCATTTTGCTATGAAGTGTATCATGAAATCATGAAAAGATCAACACCTTGGACCTACTACAAAAAATAAGACCAAGGTGGTGTTTATCCCCAAATAGGTGCCTACTTTGTCAGGTTAATGGTGAGACTTGTTATCATTTACTAAATCTCCTATCCATTTGTTACTTGTATTTGGGAAAGTTTCTTCTCTCTCTTTGGTTGCAACTTGCAAGTGGACAGTGCCTTCAAACATGGCAAGATTGTTTAGTGGAGAGACTTTCACATGGCCAAGAAAAAGAGGATCACTTAGTGAAGTGGATCCTAGTGGGCCAAAGTAAGAACCAAGGTGGTTTAGGGCTAGGAAATCTAGTGGAAAGAAATAATGCCTTACCCATCTACTTTTTGTTTGCTTTTAGGATACCTGTTAGGGAAGCCAAGAAGATAGAAAAGTTGATGAGGGATTTTTTGTGGGAGACAGGTGCAGAGAAAAAGGATCATTTGATTAGATGGGAGGTGGTGAGTCGAAGCAAGGAACAAGGGGGCTTAGGGTTAGGGAACCTAGTAAATAAGAAAGAAGCCCTTTGGGGCAAGTGGCTATGGAGGTGGCCTCTGGAAAGAGAGAGATTGTGGCATGAGGTGGTGGCTAGTATCCATGGCTGTTCTGAATCTGGTTGGGATGTTGGGGTATCTCAACGGGCTACACTCACTACACCTTGGAAGGCAATTTTTGGCATACTCCCAAAATTTCTCAAGTTCATAAGGTATGATGTCTGCAATGGTAATCCTGTGCTTTTTTGGGAAGATGTTTGGGTGGGCAACCAACCATTAAAAGACCTCTATCCCTCCCTTTTTTCTATTTCCCTCTATAAAAGGAACCTGATTCGAGGTTTCTTTCTCCCCCCATTCTCCCATTGTCTCTTAATTGGGATTTTGGGTTTCGTAGAGGGTTGAGGGATGAGGAATCGTTTTCTGCCTCTAAACTCTTACTTTTACTTGATTCTGTTTGTTTGGACCTCTTAAACCAAATAGAAGAATTTGGTCTTTGACCTTGAGTGGCTCCTCTTGTTCTTCCTTCTTTAAGTCCCTATGCTCTACTCCTTCCCCTTTGTTGTTCCCAGTTAAAGAAGTCTGGTCAAGGCCAATTTCACCTAAAATTGTTGGTTTTTGTTAGGAAGCATATTATGGTAAAATTAATACTGTGGACAATGTACAAAAACAAAGAGACCTTATTCATGCTTGTCCCCCAATTGGTGCATTTTATGTAAAGTGCAGAATGAGGACTGTTATCACCTACTGATTTCTTGCTCTTTTACAGTAAATATTTGGAATTGGATTTGTATGCTGTTTGGGTACAGGTGGAACCTACCTCCTAAAGTAAATCTGCTTTTTGATCCGTCTTTTTTTGGTTGGCAAACAAAGAGAGGGAAAGTAATGTGGAAATGTATCTTATGGACCATTTGGGAGGAAAGAAATGACAGAATTTTCCAGGAGAAGGAGAGAAGAATTGCTGAAATAAAGGATTGTATACTGACAAGGGCAATCCTTTGGCAAAAAACTACTGATCTCTTTGTGGATTACTCTAGTGATGACCTTCAAAGGAGTTGGGCAGCAGTTGCCCCCTCCGGAAGGAGTTCTAAAGTTGAACTTTGATGGGAGCAGTCAAGGCAATCCAGGACCTTCGGGTATAGGAGGGATCTTGAGGAATAAGAATGGCAACATATTGTCTTTATTCTCAGGTCCAGTGGGTTATGGAGACTCTACAAGGGCTGAGATATTAGTTGTGGTACAAGGACTACAGATTTCAAACCAACTTGGAGTGACTAATTTGATAGTTGAAGGAGACTCTAAGGTGATAGTGGGATGGATGTCGGACCCCTAGAAAATGTTGTTTAGGGATATAGGGACATCACCAAAAAAGTCAAATGGCTTAGGAGAACCATGTCAGTTAGCTTTCAGTGGGTTAGTAGATCAGCAAATGCTTTGGCAGATTCTTTAGCTAAACAAGGGGCTTCAAGGGATTCTCTGTTTTTGGCTAATTTGTAACTACAATCTGAAAAAGAGTCGGGTTTGGAACCACCTTTAAGGGGAGGTAACACCTCATGCCTCCTCTTACGGTGCTTCATGCTTGTACTATCTCTATCTCTATTTAATAAAATACCATTCATTCATTAAAAAAAAAAAATAACGCCTTACTTGGAAAGTGGATGTGGAGATTCCCCTTAGAAGAGGACAGTTTGTGGCATAAGGTCATTTTTTTGGATAAGTAAAGAGTCATATTCCATTAATTCAAGGATCAGTTACATGAGAATCCCCTTAGAGAGGCGCGAGGTGCTGCCTCTCCATATAGAAAATACAAAAAAACACAAAAAATACATTAAAAAAACATGACTGTTACAAAAGACACAAATTACAATTGCGCCCATAACAATGTTTCCCTGTTTGTCCCTTGTTTTGCCAAGACATCAGCAAAAGATTTAGCTGATCTCTCAACCCACTGTACTGTTACAGACATATTCCTTGTCAGCCATTTGAATTTCTTTATCTCATTCTTGTAGTCCCACGTAACATTCTCCAGATTATTTAACCAGTTCACCACTATCTTAGAGTCCCCTTCAACCAAAAGCTGCTCCACACCCATTTCTTTTGCAAGAATTATTCCTTGTATTGCAGCTAACAGCTCTGCCCTAATAGAGTTACAAACACTTAAAGGGCCAGAGTATAGTAAGACAGCCTCTCTAATCTCATTCCTTAGTACACCTCCCAAACCAGAGGGACTCGGGTTGCCCTGGCTACTTCCATCAAAATTCAGCTTCAAAGAACCGTGAGGAGGGGGGACCCAGCTTGTCATTACCTTTATCTTTGAGGAGGAACAACTTGCTACTGATAACCAATCCCTCCAACAGTCAGTAAAGGAGAAATGATCAAACAAATCCAGAGTCTTTAACCAATGTAATGCCCTATACAGAATGCCGCCCTTCAAGGCCTGACTGCTTCTCCCCTTTTCCTAGAAGATCCTGGCATTCCTTTCTTCCCAAACTGTCCATAACAAGGCTGCTCGTACACACCTCCACATTTTCCTTCCTCTTTTTTGGGGCCAACAGAACATAGAAGGGTTAAAGATTGTACTTACTTCTGTTGGCATATCCCATCTACACCCAAACAAAGATAGAAGCCAAACCCAGAGTTCTATAGTGACACTACAAGATAAAAATAAGTGATAACAGTCCTCACCATGAGATCTGCAAAGAGTGCACCAGTTTGGAGAAATACATAGGAAGGGTCTTCTCTTTTGTAGGTTATCCATCGTGCTTACTTTACCACGCCACACTTCCCAACACAAAGCCATAACCTTGGGAGGAACCGGTCCACACCAGACTTCTTTGGAAAGAAAACTTTGTTGAGAGGAGGTTTGGCACAAGAAATTAAAAAAGGAACCACAAGAAAAAGACCTATTAGGGTGAATGGCCCAAATCCTCTTATCAGGTTTCAAAGGATCCAACCAAACCTTATTGAGGAGACCAAGAAGAGTAGACAAACAATCAATTTCATCCTCCCTTAACCCTCTACAGAAACCAAAGTCCCAACACAAAGACAACAAATTTAAAACTGAAGGAAGGAATTTTGAAATCACCTCTTTTTATACAAAGAAATAGAGTTACCAGAACAAGCATCATACCTTATACAACTTAGGAACTGCAGAAGAATTTTGTGAATTGCTTTCCAATGTGTTGCTAGGTTAGCCCTCCTTGAAGCACCAGCATCCCATCCACTCTCTGAAAATCCATGAATACTCTTCACCACTTCATGCCACAACCTATCTCGCTCCATAGGCCACCTCCACAACCACTTCCCTAACAAGACTGAGTTCTTCTTAAGCACATTCCCAAGCCCTAATCCTCCTTCCTCTTTGCTTCTACCCACAACCTCCCAACTAATTAAGTGGTCTTTTTTACCTTCTCCCAGTTCCCAGAGAAAATCTCATTAATTTTCCCAATTTCTTCGCTTCCCTAGATGATATCCTAAAGACAGAGAG